AAAGAAGAGGTGGACTTTGTATTCCCAATGATTGACACGGCTGAGACTGGACAGATTAACCGGAAAGCTTTGACAGAATGGGTGGTATGTGAGACCTTTTCCCATTCTTATGACATAGGAATGGTGAATTGATGTCAGATACATTGTATACTTAGAATAATCTGAGAATGGTACTAATGGATGTAAAAAAATTGATTCTATGCCTTTGTTCAGGTTTCATTTTCTCACTAAGAGGTTACCTTTTAAAAAATGAGTTGTGGATGAGTGGGTAGTACTTGTGGTTACTACGAAATGTGTCGTAAAATTAAAGTTTGACTTTGAAAAGTAACTTTTTAGTAAAAACTATTTGACTTGCTAACTAGAGATGCCCCTCTTACTTTTTATTTATTGTTTTGCCTCTTTAATCAGCTAACAATTCTGCTGCATTATATTTGAAGAGCACTTCCATACGATTTCTATGGCTGTATGATAATCCTAATTCCTTAATCAAGCTCTTCGCCAGTTGGTAGTATCGCTCAGTGGGGGCAGAACTCTTCTTCAACATCCTAATATTTCTTATCTATGCAGGTGAAAGTTTACAAAGGTCGCAAAGCACTAGCGCATGCTCTGAATGATACCAAAACTGCTATAAAGCAATTGAACAAGCTAGTTACAGTGATCCTACTTCTTGTTATCATAATAGTGTGGCTTCTCTTGACTGGAATAGCAACAACCAAAGTGCTTGTCGTTCTCTCATCACAGCTTGTTCTGGCTGTATTTATATTTGGAAACAGTTGCAAGACTGTTTTTGAAGCTATCATATTTGTATTTGTAATGCATCCTTTTGATGTGGGTGATCGTTGTGTTATCGATGGTGTTCAGGTATCTTTTATGAGTTAGATTGTACTTTCTTTCTTTATTTTTTTTAACTCTATTTGTTTTATGTAGATGATTGTGGAAGAGATGAATATCTTGACAACAGTCTTTCTAAGATTTGATAATGAGAAAATATACTATCCAAATTCTGTTCTGGCGACCAAACCCATCAGCAATTTCTATAGAAGCCCAGACATGGGTGATTCACTGGAGTTCTGTATTGATTTCAAGACACCACTTGAGAAAATAGGTGCTCTGAAAGAAAAGATAAAGAAGTAAGTTTCTTTTCCTTTTTTAGGGTTTTTGCATTTGTCATGCTGAGTTTGTTCAAAAGCACTTAAATCCCAAAGATTGCTTCAGTTACTGTAAATTGTCCCCTTGCAAAATCTTCAGCTGAAATATGAGCTGCAAGACGTGAACATTTTAAGGGCATTTTTGCCCTTCGTCACCTTTTACAACCAAGTGGCCCAGCCACTGCACAAAAGCTTAGCAAAAAATCACGCATTGTGGTATTTTGCTGCTCAAGTGTTTCTTAATTTCCAACAGTTTTGCACTTATCCTCTATGCTTAATTTAAACTAATTGATTTGGTTTAGCGATCAGGTAGACATTGCAGCTTCTAATCTGGGGGAAATTTGCTATTGTTTTGAAGAAAAATATGACACCCTCCTCTTAACTTTTGGCATATTAAGAGTACAACCAGGCCACTTGATCATGTTTTGAAAACTAGATAGGGGAGCAATATGAAGCAATTTAAAGAAATTTTTGGGGCTTAGTCCCTTTTTACGTTAAGTTTGAGGGTAAGTGTTGAAATCTTGAAACTTAGAGGGCAGAGTGGTAATTGTCCACATTTGGTCAAAATACTAGTTTATTGGCAATAAATGAGTTTGAATAGTTTGTATGTTCCACATGCAGTTGAACCCAGAAAATGTATCTGAAAATTTGATTATTTTAACAAATCACTTTTTGAGTATTTTCCTTATGAGCTATGATGCACCGACATGAATACGTGCGTCTGACACGATACGTGTCGAATACGTCGACTCGTGATTTTTCAAAAATGTACTGACACAACACGTCGTCGACATGTTCATTAATTTTTTTAAAATTCTTCATTTATATAGTTTAAATTTAGTTTTATTCTTATTATTGATTTTTTTTGTTGAAATCTTTTGAATATGAAAGTTAAAAATATATAATAGTAATAGTAAGAAAGGAAAATGATTATTTTAGAGTGTTTGAAGAGTGTCGGACACGGACACGGATACGTTGCCCTAGTTAGAGTGTCCGTGCTACATAGTTTATGAGTAATTTGTCACATAAATTACTAATGACTTGTTTATGATTTTGCATATAATGGTCCAAAGGAATATGCTTTGCTTTAGAGAATTCTCATGTTAACATAAATTGATGTGAATTGTAATATTCTTTTAATATAAATTTCTATCTGTTTTGCCTGATTCTTGAAAACATTGTTGCTAGAAATTTTTAAATATTTGGTATGATGATTTTTTGTTGGTGCATTCCATGAGTTGTTCATTGAATTAAAGCTGAAATATTCATCATCTTGGTTGTCATATACTTGTTGGAAGCGTCTACAAATATAAATTAATAAATTGCATTGTGTTAAACAATTAATCTTTTAGATGAGGTTGTTTTGTACTACATGGGAGGTCATCTCTATGATCTCTATTGGTATGTCTGGTATATCTGATTGGACCGCACTCGATTGGATTAAAGAAGATAGTTAAAATCTTGTGTCCTGTAGAAGGTCTTTTACCTTTATTAATCTATGTCAAAAAATCATATGCCTCCCTGTTTGTTTGATAACGGAGTTCACATTCATTAAGATAAGAGTCTTATGCCTGCCTGCTAGTGTTGCCGTTCACTGTTTCTTGAAACTTGATCTCTCCCCCCAGATCAGCCGTATAGCCAAGAGAAACCATAAACCACCATAGAAGAGCTCGCCCCACTTGTGAATAAATATTTCATTGTACCCTCATTACACTGTACATCTTTATTCGTATTTCCTAATAATAGGCAGGAGATAAATTGAAATATCGTGGAGCTACGAAGATGGTTACTAAATTATTATCACCCCCATAAATTACCAAAACCATTCCTCGTAGGGTAGTCATTATTACGAAAAGGAGAAACTCTCTTCTAGCCGTTTATATATACCAAACATATATAATCTAGACCTGTTAGAATATCCTCACAATGCTCCAGGATCACAAAAACACAATATTGCTCACACTAAAAGCTGATAAATTATTCAATACTACCTATGTGAAATGCTGTTAAATTGCCTCTATGGATGATTCTTGCCTAAGGTAAACAATGAGTAATATTCTGTGAGTTATGTCGCTGATAAACACACCAAAAAGTTTTATACAATCCTAGTGAAATTAACCAAGACCTTTTCTTATACAATGATCTGCAAATTGCTTGGTTAAGCTTTTAAGTGCTTATAAGCAGTAGGTCCCAAGTAATGTGTGGCTAAAAGTAGATAAAATTTGTAGGTTATATGGAATGTGTCATTACAAATGATGTTTGACCAGCTTATAAGCAATTATAAGCTTTGCCAAACATGCACTAAGTCTTGTTGCATTCTTACTGCTTAGGTATTTAGAGAAAAATCCACAACATTGGCATCCTAACCACAATGTAGTCGTGAAGGAGATTGAAAATATGAACAAGATTAAGATGGCTCTCTTTTTTAATCATACAATCAACTTTCAAGAATATGGAGAGAAAAGCGCACGCAGAACTGATCTAGCCCTTGAACTGAAGAAAACGTTTGAAGAGCTGCATATTGGATATGATCTCCTTCCTCAAGAAGTTCGTCTAGTCAGGAGTAGTGTCAGCTAGGATCAGCAGATGATTTTATCTTTTAACTCGGTAAGTGCCTTTTTTCCTTTTAACTATGAAAATTAACTCTGCTATGTAGTTCTGAAACAAATGTCTTTATCACGAATTTATGACATTAGGATCAATTACGAAGCTAACAATCCGAATAATATTTTGAATATCAGTCAAACAACCTTGAAAGTATATTTTTGCTTTTTTCTATTTTGTCATGTTCTCTAACAAATTATCTGTTGCCCGCTTATGGAAATAACAGGTGATGCCAGAGTGTTTTTGTCATGCACCTATAGAAATGCTGAACTGGAGAAAGATTCCGAACACTGCCTCTTGGTAGTACGTAAACAGATATACAGTCACCGTTGTTTGTACCGTGTATAAAATCTAGCTTCTCGAGAAGGATGTTGATTAATCTTCATTTTTCTTACCTCTTGGGTTTGCTGCTGGTTCTTCTGGCTTTTGTTTCGTTGTGATTTCTGCTTCTCCGAAGTCTACTGCAGTTGAATGTGCGTGTTATTGGGTGCCTGAATTATACAAAATCTTTTGTTGAAACGCATTTTTCTCGTTTTTATTTGTTTTTCCCGGTTACATTTTCTGATTGTTTATTTCCCTATTATTTTCAATTTCAAAGTGTGTTGAGTTGATTTAAGTCTTGTCTGGTATGTCTTTTGCTTTTGATTCTTGCAGAAGAATTTTTGGAGGGAGCTACCTTAATCTTTTGTTTGGAAACTAATATTTAAAAGCTTTTCTCATTCCAAAGTGCTTATGGAAAAAATCACATTGTACTATATCTCTAAAAGCACTTAGCTAGAAGCATTTTCATAAAATTAGCCGCATGGGTTCTAGAAGTAACTTTACTCAAAAGTCATGTCAAATGAACATTTAACTCTAGAAGGTTGACTTGAGTTTTCATTGCGAGGTCCCAAAAAAAAAAAAAAACATGAAAGAAGGCCCAGTTCTGATAGCTTAATCCATTTAATTTTGTGGGCTATATTAATGTTGTTGAATTAAAACCTTGAACTGCTTGAACAGTCAATAAATTTATTTATTGGAAGTAGGTAAAAGCATGGTAACATCGGCCAATTGTTTGACATAACTAATTGTGTCTCATACTTGGTCTGCTTTCGTAGCAATTCCATAACATATTCGACAAGACCAAACACAGAATTGTAGCTTGTTTGACAAAGGATAGAAAAAATGAGAAGGCAATGACTAGATTATATATGATCATATTTTACACGTGTTATCAAGTATAGCTAGCACATTGCGCAATTGATTACATAGGCAAAAAGCAAGTAAGAGTTAGAACCTCATTTATGATATGCCAACTATAGTCAGAAGCAACCACCCCCTCATTTACGAGCGTGATTTTGTGACACGAATGTCGAAAAATAGAGGAAATTTTACAAAATGTCCATTTTTACCTAGTCATTTGCAAAAATGTCTAATTTGTAAGAATGTAGACCAAAATACCCTTATTAACAATTTATAATTCCACACTAAGACAAAAAATTGACATTTTTGCAATATTGTTATTGGCCAATAAAATTTTGACACAAAACCTGTCATATTTATTTTAAAAAGTATACATGTTAAATCATAATAAATGCTATATTTTTCTTGAATTCAGAAATGTAGAGAACGACTTTTTTAAATGTAAAGAAATGTCATGGTCAAAATGAAATGTCACTCTAGACAAATAAAACGGTGTTTAAATGTCGAAAATGATATATGAAATGTCAAGAAACATTATTTTAACGTAATTTTTCATGGAAGCCACTTCTCAAAATTCGTGACAAATTGATAAAAAAAAATCAAATGTTGAGAACGATATTTAAAATGTCCAGAATACCATTTCAAAATGTAACTTTTCATTAAGGGCATAATAGACAAGTTGACATTTTCAACTCATACCCTTAAAATTGAATATTCTGAAAAATGCCCTCGAAAAATATTATCTTCCATTTCTACTTCGTATCTTTTGTTATGTCCAAATTTTTCATTTCCTATTAGTGTCTTTCAGTTCACTAGTATAGAAACTTAATGCTCAATTTCTACAGATTTTTCAATTGTATCTTGGGATACAAACTCTCAAGGAAACCTCGAGTACTTATGATGTAGGGGCAAATCTCTTTTGAGACAAATATATTATTCTCTTTAGAAATTATATGTTTTTCCGTTCCTCCCGTTGTTAATTTCCTGTTTTGTTCTTGCGTAATTAATAAAGGGGGTGTTTGATTATCATTTTTCTAAAATACGTTTTTCTCTATCTTCTTTTCAATCACATATTCTTCATTAAAATAAGGGCACTTTCAACAGAATTCAAACTTTTTAAACAATAGCAGACTTTTTTTTAATCTTTCATTTGTTGCAATCATCACCCCAAACCTTTTAAAACGTTGCATCTGAGGCCGTTTTTGATGAAATCTATCCAATTTTCCGTTAGTAAGCCTAAAAAAGTGATTTTGATATGAAAAATTGATTTTGACCACATTTTACTCAATTTTAAACGGGTAAAATAGTAATTTAATATTTTCTCCATCCACATTCTCTCTCTTGATCTGTGATTTTTTCCTTCATTGTAACTCCGACGCCAGCATCAACGTTGATGACGAATCTTCCACTGCCCTCACTCCACTAGAAACCTCTTCAAGTCCAAGAAATCACGCTTAATGGCTAGATCCGAAATCGATCCATCTTCATCCTTCAGCTCCCAAACCTCATCCAATACTCCAAATTTATGTGATTATTTTTTACTTTTAATAGTTAATCAACTTGGTTTAATAGAGATGGCAACAGGAAGATAAGGAAGGAGGAATTGGAGCCGCTGCTCAGTTGAGTGGGTCCCAGTAGGGACAGAGCTAAGATTATTATTCAGTGCGGACAAATTTTTTATGATGTGTTCATATTCTTTACACGCTCAAACAAATCTTTCTCGATTGTTGTTTTTATGACAAACATAGCCGTGCTCGCTTTGATTTTCTATTTTTATAGTGCCATGATTTAGTCTAACGATATCATGTCACTTCCGTCAACTACTTTATGTAGATCTTGTCCTTGGAGATAAAACTCAGTAAATTTGTCATGTGGTATAATTTTTTATTATTAAATTTTTCATTATGTCTAGGACTTTTAGGTTTTCTATCGTGATTTAATTTACATCTTTGTACTCAAACAAACTTTATAGAAGCTTTAGAATTTTCCTTTGTACACAAACCCCAAAAGCTCAAAAATTTGTCTATGATTGCTAGTCTCTAATATCAAATTGTTAAATTTAAATATTAAAGAAACAATTTAATTAACGAAAATTTGTGGAATATTTTGTTAAAAAACACACTCTCTCTCATCAAACACCAATACACTTATACACAGCACCTCATTATCTACATCACTTAGTCCACTTTGCTGCATACAAGTTCAGTCTCTCTCTATCACGACACACAACCCACTTTCTCTCACTTTATCTATTTCTCTTCTCACTCTATCAATTCCTTGCAAGACTGCAACCAGTTTCTCTCACACTCCATTTGATTATATATAAATATAAACACACACACACACACTGGTGCACATATATACATTCAACACCTTCAAGGTTCTTCAATGTTGATGATTGATGATTTACTCACTTTTATGATTTTTTCCTTCCAGTTTTGAGGGCATTTAGAACCAGAACTAAAGCTGAAATGAAATGAACCAAAGTTCAATGCGGGCATATGCCCGCATTGGACCCTTCATAGCTCCGCCCCTAGGTCCCAAGCCATTGAATCAGGAGGAGCTGAAGATTATTCTGAGAAATGTGGATACTGACGAGGATGAGTGTATAAGCTTGGAGGAGTTTCACGCGATCGATTCAGCTTTTGGGCTACCGATTTGCAATACGGAGCTTAGAGTCACATTTGATTTCTTTGAATCTAATGTGCAGATGAGAAGAGATAGGGAGGAAGGGAGATAGAGAAGGGGGAATGGCGTGGGGAAAATATTAAATTATTATTTTGCCCTTTTAAAATTGAGTAAAATGTGGTCAAAATCACTTTTTTAGGTCAACTAACAGAAAATTGGACATATTCCATCTAACAGGGCCTCCGATGCAACATATTAAAAGGTTTAAGGTGACGACTGCAACAAATAAAAGATTATGAGAAAGTTTGCTAATATTTAAAAGATTTAGGATTCTGTTGCAATCATACCTTAAAATAATATTACAAGCAAATAAAAAAAAATTCTTCTTTTTTAACCACACATTCTCTATCAATTTACTATTTCAAAATACATTTTTCAAAAAGAATGTGGATCGAACACACTCAAAATATATTTTTACATTCTACAATTTTGTCTAACGTCAAGTTGATGCCACGGTGAAGGAGAAGGGCATTGTGAGAATAACTGCAATGGCTTTAGTTGCCTGCTTGGGGGTGTCGAGGGTGGCAAAGGTGGCCGAAAATGGAGTCACTGCATCTCTTAAAAACTCCTTGCTCACCCTTATGTTTAGTGGAGTTGTGATTAGGGTAGGGGTGTAAATTTGGCTCGCGGACTCTAGTGGCCTGTGGCTTGGCCCGAGCTAGCTCAATTCGTGGCTTGGAAGAACCAAGCCAAGGCTCGGACACACCCAAGCCAGCCCGTGTGGCTCATCACGGGCCGGCCCATAAAAAAAATCAATGAAAATATAGTTGCCTTAACGAGGCAGCAGGCGGAGTTACTTGTTAAAACTAACAGGAAGTATTGCCCCAAAAAAAAATACGTATTTTTCAAAAAAATACATAATTTTTAATTTTATTTGTTTCAAGAAAAATTGTACGTGAAATTTTTATTTATGTACAATTTTAACGACGCCTATATTGATTGTAGCCAGTCCCAAGTTCAAAAGAATGGGGAAGGTTGTAACTTTTATTTATTTTATAATTCGTATAAGTTACATAAATTTCAAATTCTTTAAAAAAATATTAGATTTGTCATGAATTAAAAATAAATGCTAGCCAAACTCAAGTCGAGCCTTGATATTTTGGCCGAGCAAAAGCTTGGCTGGACTTGGGCCAAAAAAATCCTGAACCATTTTTACTCAAGTCGAGTCTAAGTTTCAAGTTTCGGCTCTGCTCATTGACATTCCTAACCAGGGGCCATTCTTGGCGCTGTCATTGGTGCATCAAACTTCGATCCAGTCAAGAGAAGTTAAAACATTTGCTTGAGCATTCCTCATAATTTTGGAGCCAAACATGACATCAACCCATTTTACGTTTTACAAGGATAAACATTTGAACAAGTTTGTAGTTGGACGAACAATTGAAAGCTTAATGGAGAAATGTCTGCCTCGTGATATTTCAGCATTATAAGGTTTTTCGGACAAAAATATAATTGAAAGAGAAAAAGGGATCCAAATTGTAAAATTGAAAGCTTAATGGAGAAAATGCTTCATAATTTTCAGCATTACATAAAACGGTAAAATAGAGCTAGCTAGAATCCTACAACCCACCACAAGAAGCCTAGCATATCTACTGTCCAAAAGCCAACAGCATCTAACAATTTTTAAGGTTTCGATCCATCCCCAACCCCCACCAAGACAACCTTAGATCCTGTATG